GGTCGCCGTGCTCACAAGCGGCGCACTGTAGCAGTGCGCCACCGGGCCAGCCCCAGCTTGTGAATTTTCAAACCCATTACTGTCTTCTTACCTGAAGTCCTTTTATAAAGTTTTGAATTGAGAAATCATGATACAAAAAAATGTTGGTCAGAACTTGTAACACTTTTTCACTTATTTTAAAGGGAAATTGAGTTGTAAGAAGTAGCTGAAAGAGATTAAAGGACGGGAGTGGGACACACCCCTTGTTAGTCTTTACTATTCATAAATATAAGGTACAAATAATAAAGCAAAGAATGATACTATTACACAGTACCTATAAAAGCTGCAACAGTAGCTGGTTTTTTTTAGGTCATATATCAACCAAAATTTTAAGTTAACTTATACAACAATAACAACAACAAAAACTAGCTATTTGTACTACATCTTCAGAATTGAAGATGTTCACCATCCTCCATCCAGTTCCTAATTTTTTAAAGGGACCACCTGTTAACTATATAATCCTTTATCTACCACTAGAAGCTACTGCAGAAGCTGTAGGCTTTGGCAATTCTTGTTACCAGCTAAGATTTCTTTTACATCACTACTGAAGCAAATTAATAAAGAGTACCATATTACACACTATTGAATGAGAAACACAAAATAAACAGATGTCTATTTTAAAAGTACAGAATATCTGAATTTGTATCATTTGTCTAATTTTCAATAGCTCACAGTGATGTTTTACATCTGAAAATAAAAAGTCATACTAGGCTTCTTAAACAGAAACACAATTATAGAAGGCCAACTGAATTTGGCTACAATCAACCAATTTTAAATACTATAGATGAAAACATTTTTCCTAAAGTGTCAATACGTCAGATGGATACCATCTTTATGGAAAAAATTATGGAAGTGGTTATAAAGAAGGGGCAGGTTGTCATTAGTTTACCTTATAAAAGCATCATAAAGCATATCTTAAAAGAGCTGAGTCCAGGAACAATTTGTGGAAGGTCAATACTAAAGAATCATTTTTTCTATGTAGGTATAAAATTATTTCTGTTTCTAAAACATATTTAGGTATAGCAGCTAAGGTCTTGGAAAATTTTAGCATACATTTATTTCTTTGTTGTCTTCAAGAGTAGTCTGACAGTCAGTTAGGAAAGCATCTACTAAAAATTTCGAATCATTTTATATAAAATGTAAGACTCAAAACATTGTTATTAATGTTAAGAGGAAGTCTATAAATTCTGCAAAAATTTATTTTAAAAACATAATTTTTCATTGAGTAAAGATATACAGATAAACATAGATAGATATGATTATTCTTTTCATAAAACCTACATTTTATATTAAGAGGCAATACTATATAAAATCACTATAAAACACTATAAAAATCATGACGATAAAAATCATTAAATAAAAATATTAAAACATGTGAAGGTATCTCAATGTTCTGAGATGCAGTGATTAATCATTCACATTTATATTTACAATGTATTCTTGGCAGTCTTCTTTTTATCCTGTTTCACTGGTAAAAGTTTTTCTTTTTACCTTATCAAGCATCGTAGTCAGGTGCTCCTTGCAAGACAAAGATTGGAACAGTTCGATGCACAATAGAGATGATACGGCATGAGAAAGCAACCGGTGGATGATAATAGGAGATGTGGCAATTCCAAAAATGAGTATTAGTGGAAATTCATGCAAATGTTCACTATTTTCAAAGAAACATACAAAAGTATAATTTATTTAGCAAACATATTTCAATACATCATAATTCCAGATTGACAAACTTTAATGCCTGTTTTATAAGACATTCCTAAGGGGTATCATTCCAAATACTAAAATTTTCCAGGCCATTCATTTTTTTCTGTTAAAATAACAGAGAAATAGTTATTTCCCTGAAATTCTAGCTCTGAGTCAATCTACTAATGGATCCTCTCATTTTATAAGTAAGAACACAGAGGTCCAGAAAGATCAAGTGCCTTCCCCTAAGGTTATTTAATCTCATGTGTTAGAAACCATTTCATTTAACTTCTCATCCAAAGTTTGAGTCCTACCTACAGTCTTTCTCACAGTTGGACATCCAGCCTATGCTTTAAGAGTTCAGAGACATAAAGCTCATTCATTTTCAAGGTCACTTACTCTATTTATGGACATTTTAAACAGACACTATGTTGTCCAATCATAACAGCCAAGAATTAGAAAACTTTTCTTAACACATGTTACATCCCTTCCTTGTATTCTTAACTCAAACACACTGAACATGATTTATTCTTAGCATTACCACGATGAATATAAATGACTTCCACAGAGCAAAATAGCACTATCTTTGACGGCTACTGCAAGTCAGAGCACTTTGCATCATGGTTTATGATTTTGCTTGCTCTCTCCTATTAGTTACTACTTTTCAGTATTCTAGCTGAATGCAGTTCTACCATAATAGGAGTAAAGCGCCTGAATTCTCTTACTATTGTAAAGTTCCTCTTTTGTACTTTTTGATGGCTAAAGAAGTCACAAGTGTAGCTCCAAAAAAGTACAGGTTCACTACCTTGTACTGTGTATTTTCTCAGCATTGTAAGCAGTTCAGTGTTAGCATTAAGAAAAGTCTTAATATTTAGAACTCTTAGAGTCAATAGAAGAAAAAAAGACACTATCAAAATAGGAATTTTTTTTTTCCCCTTTTTCTGTCTTTTTTCGTGACCGGCAACAGATCGCAACCCTCAGTGTTGCGCCCGTACCGGACCGGGACCGGCTACGGGATCGCAACCCGTGGTGTCGCCCCTGCACCTCGCTCAGCCAGTGAGCGGCCGGTCTGCATGTGGGATCCGAACCCTCGGCGGGAGCGCCGCCACGCTTCCCAAGCGGCGCACTGTAGCAGTGCGCCACCGGGCCGGCCCAAAATAGGAATTTTTAGCATGTTAGTAAAATATAACACAATATAGCTTTTGGCAAATGTAGCCATAACTATTAAGGTAAGTTGACATATAAAAGAGGCCAAAATATATTCTATACTAAAAAAAAAAAATACTATGGAAAATGCATATTACTAGATTTTAAAATAGGGTTAGTTACTTCTATTCTGAGTTTCACAAGATTGCCTTGAAGATCCAACAAGATCATGAAAGTAGTTTCTCACAAGAAAAATTATGTAAACATAAGATAATGTTATTTAGAGAACATTTTTGCTCAGTAAAGCTATCTGAAACTCAGGGCCCCTAAGGATGGACAGGTATCAGAAAATAATACCTAATAGAAATATCAACCTGGAGTAGTTTAATGGGCAAGTAAGAGAAGACAACCTTGATGAGATAAACTACATTTTATACTGCCTTACCATTTTAATTCAAAATTGGCTAACTTTGTCTTTGATTCTCATTTGTGGGTCAAAAAGCAAATGAAAAATCTGATGGGAGGTCTTCGAACATTCAATTATAAAGAATTTGAAATCCCTTTGATTTCCATCTAGTTGGTATCAAAATGAAGATTATGCTAAGTTAAAAGTAGTACGTTTTCTTAATAAAAAGAGAATTTTGCACAAAAGCCAGGTGACACGCCATATACCTGCTGATAATTATAAAGTCTTGGAGTACTTTTGTGGTGAAGCTTTCCATATCCTTTAAAATAAGCACAACAGGAGGAGACTGCCATTTGCTAGAAGTAGTCCTCTTTTTCCTTGGCATTTTTGGGTCTGTCTTCTTTTAAGCCATTTAGGAAAGAAGAAGTTAAAAGTAAGCCTTACCACCCAAACAATGCTAAAATGCCACATTTTGATATATCTCCCTTTACATTTCACAGTAACATTGTTTCTTTTATTTCTCCCTAATAATAAATAGAAATTCATTGCAACAGCTAATAGCAGAATCTTTCTGTGTCTGACATGGGAATAATAACCGTGAAGAAAAAGGTTTAGTAAAATCTATAACTCACATGAAATATTTATATTTTCTGCTGAGAAAATGACAGGAAAAACAAGGGAAGAAGAGAAAAATTCTGCAAAATTGATTTTTCTGTTTACTGAAAGTAATATTTTGCTTTGCTTTAAGGTGAGAAGTAGTATTTTTAATTAAAAAGCATAATGAATAGCACTACTTGCTGATCTGTTACTATGAAATTTCAAGCTTGAAAAGAACCCTAAATATCATCTGATCTAATCTCAACCTTTAAAACATATCTGGCATAAATTGCAAGTAGCATTTGATTTCTAGTAAATCTAAAATTGTATATCAAATTAAGGTATTATGGTAAGCATTAGACCTACTTTAGTCCATATATAGAACAAAACGAAACTCACCTATGATGACTACAGCAGAAATGGTGTTTGGAAAATATCACCGTAGTATTTTTTCCCCATACTACCTGGTTACACAGCATCATAAATGAAGGCTGTGGTTTTACAGTACAGTTAACCATGAATCACTTAGACTTTCACCATAGACTGTCAGGGTGAAATGGAACTTCTTTTTGTTTGTCTATTTGTCAAATATACTTTACTTACAAAGCACTGATTCCCCAAGAATGATTTTTAAAAAAAGAAAAACAAGATTATTCCTCATAGGACTGGGTTGACAGTGACTATTGGCAGCATGATTCTATTGCATAAAAACAAACAATAAGAAACCTAAGAGATAATATATTAAAGTTATAGCCATTGTCACAGAGATAGAATCCACAACAGAACCAACTCCTAATGCTCTGTTTTTGTCAGTAGATCACATTTACCCACAAATGAAATGTCCCTGTAAGAACCTAAGCACTTTCGAGGAATTAGGCTGCACTCTAATAAAAGAACACTTCTAAATTCTAGTAACCACAGAAAAAGTAAATAGCTACTATTAAATTAATACCTAGTGCTGCACAAACTTATCCTTATTAGAAAACAGTACTATGTCTAATATAATTTTAATCCCCATCAATCATATGCTACTTTCCTGGGAGAAAATTGTCAGTTTATAGTTACCTGTGCAACAGTCATATACCAACTGGAAAGTGAATCCATTGAATAATGTGTCTTTTTCTTGGTGACCTGAACTCTTTCTTCCTCTTTGGATTTTACATCTACATAGCAATCCATCAACTGTGAGACCAACTTTTGCAAAAAATGTTTCATATCTGCAGAATATAAAAAGAACGCTTACCTCCTCTTAAAACAAAATTAAACCCCCTGAATCATCTTGATCAGTATATTACATTATTTGGGTAGGATCTCTTTTTCTATATTTACCATCAATACAGCTAAAATAATATTTAATATATTAATTATTAACCCTCATTAGTACCCTCTCCATAATGTTTAAATTTCATATTCAGATTAAGATTAGACCAAAGTTTGTGTATTATCCATAATAAAAGTGTTACCTAAGCAAATGTGTAAACTTGAAAACTATGAATTATTTTCAGAATAATATGTATTTAAATTACCCTGGATAACCAAAGGTTTTCAAGGTCCCTAAAAAAAAATTAAGTGTTATTTACATGAATTATTTTATTGATTACAAATCTTTCTTATAGTCATTTTAAAAAATGTCTTTAGGTTTTTACTTAATTTCAATCGGTTTATGAATATAAAAGTAACATAAACACATAAAACTCTTGTATCAGTCCAAATCCAAACAAATTTTAATATATTAGTGTTCACACTCTTTATGATTTGATGATTTCAGACAAGATTATCTCTGCCAATGGACTGTTTTTACTATGGCGGTCTTTAAAAGTGGGACAATAAGATGACACCTGGCTGTAAATATGAGCCTATGTAGCCTACTCTCTCTTTTGGGCTAAATAAGATCTCCCCATTCCCCAATTTTTGGCTTCCTGCCCCAAACCTTCCTATTTATTACAAGGTTCACCAGGTTAAAGAACACATCTTGCAAAATGCCTGAACTACTGCTGGCAGTGAAGCTGATATGGCAGGAATGGGGCCAGAATAAAGGAAGCAGAAAGTGGCAAAGAGTCCTGCAATAGTCAAGATTACTTTGGGAGCCACTCAACCTCACCTTGTCAAAAATGTAGCACTGTGCTCTTCCCACAAACAAAAAGGAAGAAAGAAAGCTAGAGAGAGAGAAAAGGACAGAAGAGATCTGTAACATCTCACCAAGATCATTATGGCATTTATATTTTACCTGGACAATCTTTAGCTTGCAATGAGACTACATATGGTGTGACATTATTCTGAAGGGCTTCTGTTAGGCTTCTGAATGTTAAGTCATGATCTGTGACATTCACACCTATGGGATAATACATTAATATCATCATTTTTATTAATAATAATTTAACAACAGAAGGTAATTAGTATATCAGGCCAACTACCAAGTAAAAACACTTAAAAAACAAAATTAGTAACAGAAACCAAGAAAACATACTACATAAATTAAGAGATATCCATTAACAATAGACATCTAGAGGTGAGGTGTGTACTATATTTATTTGTTAGGAAAGATATTTAGCATAATTCTTCTTTCAAAAAAAATTATTGGGGATGTGTAGTTGACCCTTAAAAATATCTTAGGAGTAATTTCATTACTTTGTCAAATTCATACCGAAATCTTTAAGATAATTATTCAAAAATAAGGGGCTATGGATTCCATCTTACTGTGACCCTGACTTAACATCTGAAGAGAATCCAACCACTAATACTATTAATAGTCATGGTACTAAATACAATAGGTAAAGTGTACACTAATCTGATTTCTGAGGTAAGAGCCTAAAAAGAAATTAAAATTATGTGCCTTTTTGATATTTATCAAACCCCAAGTTTTCATTTCCACAAATCAGAGTTTTAGTGTTTTGCACACAGTTATCAGAGTTGAGTGAAAATTTCCCCACTACTTCGGAAAAAATTCTGTTAACTGTTACCTTCCCTAACATAACAATCTGTGATTTCTAGAAAGTCCTTTGGTGCTTAGGCAGATATCAGCAGCAGATACCTTCAAACTGCTTGAGACTTGTAACTATAAAACTTCTATTGCTTGGAAGAAAAAGAAAAGTTTCAAAATCATTCATGCCAACAATAAGCAATCTTTTCTTTTTCAGAAGAGCCAAAAAGTAAAAATATCAGCAAACTACTTTTAAATGGATATATACCCTTTTGAAAACAGAAAATGTGCAACTGTGATTAAACATTCTTTGAGTACAGATTTTTTATAGTATCAAAATTATTTCTAGCATGCATTATGATCTGTGATTTTAAAAATCCATCTCTGAACAAATTTGGGAGTTCAGTAAAACACTGGCTTATCTTGTCTCTTTCACTGAATAACTTTATAAGCTACTTAAGTTCCTTAAACAATGGACTTGTCTATTGCAAATAAGATAACCAGCAATGTGTTTAACTAGAAACATATTCTCCTCAGACCATGATTTTGAAAAAGATAACTTCCATTAGCTTCTTTTTTGCCTTTGGCAGTAGGCAGGCCAGGGACTTAAACAGTGCTCTCACAACAACCATCAGACCATTCATCCTGATTGTGCTTCCTCCCCTCCACTTCCAACTGCTGTAACCTGGCAGTAGAGAAACAAAGCTTCTAACAGTACAAGTGGGACATTGCTGGGCCTCAGTTTCTCATCCATAAAAGGAAGGGGTTTTAAAATTAGACAGCAGTCTGCATTATTTAAAGTTGGTCCATATCCTTATAGAAATCATTGCTTTGAGTCTTGTTGCTTAGTGTGGTCCTGGGATCAACAATATGGGCCTGTTAGAAATGCAAAATTTCAGGCCCCACCCCAAACTTATTAATGAAAATCTTCATTTTAATAAGATCCCCTGGAGGTTATTTGTAGGTAAATTAAAGTTTGAGAAGTACTGTCCTAAACATAAGGAATAAGATTTGGGTAATGGACAGAATTAGGGGCAGTATTAAAGAAGAGAACTGATTTCTTAGATCAGAGCCCACTAGTACGAGCAACCCTCAAATAACAAACGGGAAGTGAAAAAAAGAGCATGTTTGGAACTCAAATAAATTCAACTTAGTTCAAAAATAATAACAGAAGTTTGCTAATATTCCAAAGAAATTTTTTCCATTACCCTGGAATCCAAATGTTTGGTAAAGATGGGATATTAGTGATAGACATTTAAGTAACTAATAAATGTACAACTAGCAATCCAAAAGCAATTTATATACAATTCATCCAAATCCCTTTCTAGGCAATTAATATTAATACAATGAAATAATCTAACACTGAAAATTAAGCACAGGGAAATAAAATTAAAGTCAGAGCAATTCTACTGAAGAAAGAAAAAGTATAAAAATCAAATCTACAAACACACTGGTGGTTTCTTTATTAAAAAATCCAAATCTCATATACTCTCATAATATATCTAAGGAAGAAAGAGTAAAACAAATATATTTCCCGTTCTGACAAAAAATTGAGGAGAGCACTAGCTGGATCAATTTCCTTTAATTTATAGATGTATGATCAGTATAAGGAACTTTTATTGGTTTTGAAAATATGCAAAGCAAACTAAAATTGGTCTAATTCTATAAATAAAAGAGACCAAGTGGGCTTATCAGAACAGTTTATTCCCCACTATTCTCAACAATAAAGGAACCAATTAAAAAAACCCAAAATACATACATGTATGCATGAACAAACACACATATATATACACATACCAAGAATAAGAGCAGCAGTTGGAATTTCTCTGAGTTTTGTTTGATAGCCCCAGTTTCTTGAATTCTTCTGGAACCCAGAATAAGACTTTTGCAGAAATTCAATTAGACTGTCAAACAGGTTTTTATTTAATTCTTCTTGTAGTTGCTACAAAGAAAACACAAAACTATAAATTATTATTATTAGTGGTAATCTGATGTGTCTTTCCTGGTTTTGGAAAGAAAATTATTGTGGATTCAATTCCAAAGATTACATGTAAAATTATTAAAAGATAGATGAAATAAAAAGAGTTTTTTCCTTAAATCACGAGTCATTAGTGTTTTGGATTCCTCCATTTAAAAAATCCCTCTAACTCATTCAACAAACACTTACTAATAACCACCTTATGGATGAAAAACAGTCTACCTTAAAAAGTTGAAGAAATGAGGCAAGAACATGCACAATTAAAATACATTGTGTAGAGTGCTATGATAGTATAGGAACGAAGAGTAGACCATCTGATTTAAGCTGAGGAGGTGACATATTTGAACTAAGGCATCAGCAGGTGATGGAAGAGGAGACAGGAGGTAAAGGAAAGTTAGAAGGAATGAGGAGTGCGGAAGGCAAGGATGGAAAAAAGCACCAATCATCTGGGTAACAAGATATAGCTAAGTATAAAAAATGTGAGTAGTAGTAGGAGATAAGGCTGACAAATAAGCAAAGGTCTAGACCAAGAAAATACACATGTGATGTTAAAGGGTTTAGATTTTATCCTGCGGGGAGAGCCAATGAGGGAATTAGTGAAGCAGAGACATGATTAAATCAGGGTCAAGAAGGGGATAATCGGGCAGCACAATGAAGGCCAGAAAAGAGAGCATCAGGGAAACCATACTAATACAGGGATTGGAAAACTCTGGTAGCCTGACATAAGTTTGCATTGCCTGGAGGAGACACTTTTCTAATTTGGCCAATGGTGCCATAAGGGCTAGTGGCAGAACTGAAGGATGTGACATCAGAATCAGGGAGGCCAGTTAGGAAGTATATAGTCCGTTTCTGTTGCTTATATTGAAATACTTGGTACTAGGTACTTTGTAAGAAAACGAAATTTATTGCTTACAGCTTTGGAGACTGGGAAGTCCAAAGTCCAGGGAACACATCTGGTGAAAGCCTTCTTTGGTGGTGATTTCAGTGACTCAGGGTATCACATTGTGAAAATGGAGGAGCAGAGAGATAGAGACTCTCACATGCTCTCTTTTTAAAGCCCTCAGAACCAATCCCATGACCCCCATTTTTAATCCATTCACTACAGCATGGTACTTACAATCTAATTACCTCTTCAAGGCCTCACCTTTCAATTACCATAATAGGATTTCTCACGCTCTTAACAGTCACAGTAGGGATCAAGTTTTGAATATATACAACTTGGGGGACACAATTTATTCTACATTAGTAGTATATTATGACAACCCATGTTAAGAAATGAAGAGGGTCTAAAGTTGAAAACCACAAATTCATATACCTTCAGGATAACATGGAATACATGAATGAGCAAAGCCACTAGGTGTAAAGCAATACAGACTGGTGGGAAGCAGTAATAAACTGGAAAGTGCATAACCTTCCCAAAGGCCACCAAGACACAAAAACTGTAACTTTCTGTTGGCCAAACAAAACAAGTCCACAGCTCAAGATGTTGGCCCTAGAGTTCTCAATTTGCTATAGTGGTGAAATTTTTCAGAGCTGGAATATAAAGAACACGGTAAATGGCTATGAGGATGAGGGTGAAGGAGTTTAGAAACAGCTTGATTTTGTACTTGTGTAACTTGTATAACAGAATGGATAATTTGATAAGAGTGCCACCATTTGAAAGTTCCTTGCTTTAGTAGCTATCATAAACATATGTTCCAGCATTTGAAGATATGTTTACTATTTAGAATATGAGAGATTTTTTTAGGATATATAGATTATGCTTGACCAATATTCCCTACATTTCCTCAGTACTCTTATAAATTGGTGGAAAGGAAGATGTGGAGCAACAAACATAAGATTTACGGTATTAGAGAAATGTTATTTAAAAAAAAAAGTATTTACCTCAGTTTCAGATTTCATCTGTTGCCATATCAACCGATAAGTTTCGAATCGAAGCTTACTGTCCTCAGACTCATTTTTCCCTTTATTAAAATAGTCCTCTAAAAGCACAGAAAGAAATAAGTCAGTCTCTTTTTTCATATAGTAAAAGTTAAAAACCCTGTGTGCAAAGTCACACAGTAAGAAACGGAGGTTGAATTTTTTTATATGCATCAAAAATAAATATATTTGGGGAAGGTAACATTCAATATCCTTTGTACTTAATTTTATTTGTATATCTTATATTTTAACCATATTGATGGTATTTTTAACATTAAAAATGTCATTAATTTTTAGATTGCATTTCTATCATTTACTTTTGAATTTCTAAGTTATTATTTAATGGTTTTTGGTTTGAGGTATATTCACTTAATATTAACGTGTTTTCCCTATTTGCTCTTAATCTATGACCTTGTATACTTTGCCTCATATATTTGCTTTAAACTTTACTCTATTAAACAATATTTACTACTATTCTTATTTACTTATTCCACTTACATAGTTTAGTCCAGTCTTTCATTTAGCCTGTCTGTATTATTTTATGTCCTTTTAAAATGTGTTCTCCAAGTGGTCAGCCATTTGTCAAAATACCATTTATTGCAGTGGTTTTCAAACTTTTTAAACCATGATCCACATTAAGGAATACATTTTACATCATAATCTAATACATGTACATATAATAGAAACAAAAACAAAAGTCCCACAAAATAATACTCACCCTTATTTCATAACAGCAAATGTTTTCTGTTTTTTAAAACTATTATCACAGCCCACTAAATGGATTTCATAACTCACATATGGATTATGACTTTAGGTTTGAAAAGTACTATATTGAATAATCCATCCTTTCTCCCACTAAATTTGAGATGCTCTTAATAGTCTATATCCTTACATGTATGTTGAATTATTTTTTAACTTTTTCTTTTGTTCTACTGAATCCAAATCTATTCCCAGACCAGTCCTGAACTGTTTTAATTATTGCAACTTTGTATGTATTATGTTTTAATATTGAATAGATCCAGGTCTTCCTCCCACTGTCACCAAATGTTGTCATTCTTTTTCAAAAAAATTTAGACCATTCTTTCAAATTAATTTTATAGTAATTTTGTCACTTCTCAAAAATAATTACACTAGTATTTTGAGTAGATAAAACCAAATCTGTAGATTGATTTGGGGAGAAATAATATCCTTAATACATTAAAAAAAAATTATCACCCCAAAACATCACAGGTCTCTTCCTTTAAAAAAATATTTTATATTCTTTATAGTTTTCTACTTCATATTTCTTGTTTACTGATCGATATTTTA